ACAATACTGGCGCAAACATTAAAACTTTTAAACCAAATTCTTAATCCAAATGTGGCCATTATACCCGCTAAATATGTCCGTTGGCCTAAATTTTATAGCTAGATCGTTTCACCTCATCGTGAAGTATATTTTAGTATCTTTTTTAACGCTTAAATACGTGGTCACAATTCATAAATCTCTTTTAAGATTATAATGATTTGTTGGACCTGTTTTACTGTTTTGTTGTTTACATAAATGTATCAATTTATTTATTATTTTAATTATTAAACAACTCACATACAGCGATGCTATACGTTAACCACGATTCGGGTAATTTTTAATGAATATATTAGCATTATCTATACATTTACTAAAAGTCCATAGGATTAGCATTTTTTATAGACTTAACATTAGTTTATAGAATTAGCATTAGTCCCATTGAGTTAGCATTGTCCATTGATTTAGTATTACCATAGACTTAAGCTGTAATCCCATGTTAAATCCCATAGGGTGGGGGCCAGAAGGGGAAGGGGGCCTCACAATCCTATAAACCACATTTTTCATATATGAATCGTGGTTAAAAAATACACTCAAATAATTTATAATGTTACGTAGGAGAAACGCGAATAACTTTTGACTGGGTAATTCAATTCTAATTGTTTGAGTGTCTTTAACACTTATTACTGCTTTGAAATCTCTCCAGAGAGCAGTTGTTAATAAGAACATATAGAATAAGTATGTGCAGAAATTACACGTCAATACACCCAGCGTAAAACCCTATGTACTGTACATGTATGTTAGTCACATATAGTGTATGCTAATATAATGAATACTTGAAAAAACTCCTTGGTGATTCAATAACCACGTCATGTTTATAATGTCCCCTAATTCAACCTTCACGCTTTTAATATACAGAGTTCTGTAAAATATAATACAGATGGTCATACTAAGCAGTAAGTGGTACTAGGCTGAATGGCTATAATAATTTCAAATGCTAGTCTCAAAACAATCACTACAATTGAATTCTAAATTGTATTATAATACAGTATTATATAATTGTGTATTCAATAAATATTTTATATACAGTATGTTGTGTTTAAATAAATAAAAAATAAAAATGAATGCTTTAAAAGTTTTATTCAATGATAATTCAATTTAGATTTAAAGAAATAAATCTAATTATTGTTACAAATATCAATCAATTTAGAACTTAGAGTTCAACCAAATAGAAGACTCTTTTTCTTTGATAAACATCTTTATGTTATGACATCTGTCCGAAGGGTTCGGCAAATCACGAGAGCATTTCTCTGCTGAGGTGTAGAGCTGTTGGTATAGTGTAGAGACCTATGCATTGATTAAGAAATTTATTTTTAAAATTATTAATTTAAAAATAATTATAAAAATACTCACTTTCCCTATCAGTTCTGACATAACCTTATTTTTAAAACTCGACAAAAATTTTTGTAAAGTAAGATTCATTTGTTTATATGCGATCATTGGCTTTAATATGGCATTTTTCAAAAAGCTTTCGATCTTAGGTCGGCTACATTTGGTCTCATTTATTAATTCGTTGAAGTGAACGGCTCTCGTAATTTCATCACAAATTAATGTCTCGGTTATGATAGCAATAGCTTTGGTGGCCGTCTTTCTCTCAGGTAATTCTGAAGCTGTGGCATAAAGTACTGCACAATAGGGTTTATTTTCTTCCAGTAATAGGTTCTTCAACGCATTGGAGTAGTCGTTATAGAATTGGAAATAACAGTTCCAGTCCTGCATTCTTGGCGATAGTGGCCCGGCTCATTATCATTTGTTGACCGATTTCTACATTTTGACGAATCAAATCACAGAGCGGGCTATTATCCAAATCATTCACTTTTTTTACCCCATTCTCCATACACTTCATGTCAGCTTTGATCTCATTGCAAATCACTGAATTAATAAATTATAATAATTTACAATATATGGTAATTTTGTTTTATGGGTTTCAATTAGTTTTAATGTGTAATTTTAGTGTTTTACTACATACCGAAAATCATAGCTGTTGATAAGACCATGGAAATCATTAACGAATTCATTGTTATGTTTCAATGTTTCAATAGTATAATGTTCAATATTAAATTTTAATCATAGAATACCACGACTTTTATGCAAAATGTTTAAGCATTGGACTCATGAATGTTGTAAATAACATGTTTTATGGATAAAATAATTATTCATTTAATTCACATGTTTTTAATATTTTGATATATTGTTCACAAATAAGTGATTTATTCATATCCGTAACTGATCTTAATATTACATAATATTTCAAAATTCTGTCTTTTTTGTCAAAATTTTGTCTGTAATATATTAATATAAAACAAATAGTACATATACAGTACTGTAGATGTATTAACAATTTAGCATTGTGATTCTCATTCACTATAATTACATAAATTCACAAATCCTTATCAGATATAAATTATATCTGAAGAATTATATCAGAAGAGAGGTAAGATAGTAACGGGGCGATTTTATAATGACGTGGTTATTGTTCACCAAGTATTATTTACAGTAAATGCTACTATTTTTACATTAATAATACATGAATTACATAGCAGTGGTTCAATGCCATATGCCTTCAGATGCCTAAATATC